TATTGTTGTTGTATTAAATTTTGATAATGCTAAAATTCTATTAACTTCGTTTAGTCCATGCTCAGTCAAAAAATTTTAACAAGTTTGAAGATGTTTATAACAATAACGTTGAGTATTTATAATTTTATTATTTTTATCTTTTAATAAGAAGTCTCATCCTACATATCGAATACAAGATAAACAAAGAGCTTTCATATTATTTTTATTTGCTTTTTCATTGTGAAGTACTTCAAACTATGGAGTTAATGAATGCGGCGCTTTTCCTCCTGCATGTGTCATTATGCTTTGAAATGAGATTTTATTGATAATCATACAATTTTAGATCCTTTTATATTCTAATCTTTCCATTTAACTTTAATCGAGATTTGTAATATGTCAATCACAATGGACACAATGGACAATGCAATGGACACAATAGAAAACTGTTCATTGTTGATTGTTATATCAATGGAAATATCCATTGCCAACACTGAAGTGACGAACCCTATTAACATTATATATTCTTTCTTTTTTACTTTATTAGATTATATTTGCATATTGTTTTTTGAAAATATATATTTTATAAAGGTAGGTAATAATATTTTGCTGCTTGCTTAGCCAATATATATGGCATGTCACTTAAATATCCTGCAAAGAAATCAGCTAAGACAACATGTATAACTTATTTGTAAATGTAATATATATTATTATCAAGCCCTTCAGAACCTGAATTTACTATCGATAAAATTATAACATGAACTAAAAATTAAATAAAATGCAATTTTGAGCTTTGAACTCATAATGGTTTCCATTTTTTAGTAATTATAATGATTGATGTCTAAAAATATGACTAACCTATACTTTTTTTATTTTATTAACCCTTTTATAGGAATAATCTTTTTGTGTAATAAAGCCTCTATTAAATTATTCTTCCTAATCATTCCTATTAATTTTTTGTGAATAAAAAAATTTCACAAATCTCTATTTCAAAATTATCTACAGTTTCTCTGATCAGTTTTTCGTAATCATTCATTTTACAACTATCATAAAAAGAGCCTATTATAAGATCTGTCATACTAAATGAAAAATATCCAAACGAAAAATCATGATTCACTATAGAATGTTGTTCATTCTTTACTCTGCTTAAAATATGACTATTAATATCAATTATATCCTTAAATGAAAATATAAAACTATCTTTAGATGTTCTAAAAGTGTACGCAAAGCCAAATAGAATATCTCAAGGCCATGCGATTGGATTATATCCTCTAAGAATTTTGTTAGTTTCTTTCAATTTAATAATCATTATAGTCAGAAATTTAGTTGAGGATCTTATATCACTACTACCTTGAAAATAATAATTTGAATTCATATAAAGCAGTAATCTCTAATGTTGTGGGTGAAACCTATGAGTTTCGCCAAAGGTCAATTCTGAAACTTGGCGAAACTAGTTTCGCTAAATTCTTCAAATTCTGAAACCTCCAAAACTTTCGAAACTTTTCAAAATTGACAAAACTTATTGAAACTAGCAAAACTCATCGAAATATTTTTATTGGTTATATTAATATATTAATTATTATAATTATTGTATAATTTTTTAAATCAAATTATATAAAGTATTTAATGTAAAAAAATTTTATTAAAACGAAAACTTATAAATGCATAGAAACAATCTACAAATAAGCTTCAACTACTAAATTGGGATCCCAATCTTCTTTTGCACTATCTGCTTCTATAGTATCATTTCCAACATTATTATCATCATTAGTTTTTTTCTTCTAAATCTATATTTAAATCTTCAATAAGTTCATTAAGATCTTTCAAGATCTCCAGTGCATCAAGATTTAAAATTTGATCTAAATGAATTATATCTTCTCTATTATTATCACTACCTTCTAGTATATATATCATCTATTTTTTCATCCGATTTTGCTTCAAGTTCATCATCTTCATACAAATTTGCATCATGCAAAATAGATTGTAATTCTTCATTAGTTTTTTCATTACTATAAGATGATAGTTCTTTTTTTGTATTTGTAAGATAAAATGCGACTTATTTTTGCATTTTTTCAACCTTTTCTAAACAAAGTCTAGTTCTACGCTTTCCATAAAACCATCTAAGAGATGACCATACTCTTTCACATGTAACTTTATTGAGAAAAATTTTGTAGCAAGTTGAGTAATATGATTATGATCTTTTGGTAAAGCATCTTTCACACAATACCATCATATCATTAGAGAACTATTAGGTTCAAATTGTAAATCATAAGGTGCAATTTGTTTTTTATATACTGCTAATTGAGCCATAAATTCCCCTCATTCTTTATTAGATTTTTCCATTTTTTCATAAAGATTATCACCTGCCATAAGAATGCGATGCAAAATGTAAATACCTGACTTATTAAAATATATTAATATTAATATATTAATTACAAAATATATAAAAATAATTTAAAATTTCTTACCACTAATACCTGGATATAAAAAAAATAGCAAATATACATCATCATAAAATTCACTAAAGTGTTGATTGAAAATTGTAATACAATCATATCGAAATGCTTGATGATTATTTTTAGATAATTTTTTAATAGCTGTTCCTAATCGTGCTAAACCTAAATAACAATCTGCTAAGGTACATGTTTGTGATTCAAGAGTAGTAATGCTTTTTTTAAGTGGATGTAAAGTAAAAGCCAATATATGACACTGATCAAAAAATGCATAACTTCGTAAAATACTTAATACTGCAGTAGAAAGTGTATTTGCATATTTATAACGTATCTTTAAAATTAAATAAATATTAATTTAGTATTTTAATTTAATAAATTTAAAATTATAATATAAAATATTAAATTAATACTATTTCCAAAGGTATACGATGACAATTATACATTGTATGCCATCGTGTTTCAACCCATTTTTTTAACCCACCACCTTCAATTTTTGATTCAATAGCAAAATCTTTAAATGTTTGACCTATATTTAAAAAAAATAGAATAAAAGTTAAAAATTGATTTTAAATTAATATTTTTTATTAATACAAAATAAAATATTACCTGAAAGATGACTTGATTTAAAATATTTAACCAATACCATACATTGGCATAATACTTTATTAACAAATGATGTTTTACAAATATCTTTAGATATAAGATTGATTGCATAAGCAATACAACGGATATTAATTATATGTGGATATTTTTCAGTGATTTGATGATATGTAAGCTTAATATTAGCACCAGAATCGCTCACAATTGCAGAAAATCTGTCTTTTCCAATTTTACTAATTACTTCTTCAATTTGTTCAGCTAAAAAATCTGCTGTATGACATTCATTAGATAAATTTTTAAGGCTCCAAAGATATTCTTGATGATCTGACGTATGTACTACAAAATTACAAATTGATTCATTTGCAGGATTTGACCAACCATCACAAGCTGATTGTATATAAATAAAAATTAGTAACTTGTTAAAAATTTAAAAATTAAAGTTTTAATATATATAAAATAATAACTTACATAAAGTTAAATTCTGCTGATGTGTTAATGCTTGATTACTTGTTGATTAACCACAGCTGATTCTTGTGCTAATAGTCTTCCAGATAAAATCTCTCTACTAGGTGGTTGATATAATGGTCTTAATAATTTTATCAATTCAATAAAGAATGGATTTCTATAATATGCCATGGAATTCCACAAATGACAAATGCTTTTACCAAAGCATGATCAATTTGATTGTTTATACTTTCGCCAAACTCAGTAATTTTTTGCTGTCCGCTAATAGTAGCATTACTTTTTCTTTTTTTATTTACATTTGTTTCAGTTGAAGTTGGATTTTGATTAATGGCTTTTGCTGCTAATCGTTGTAAAAAAAGATCTCTAATTGAAGGTTCAACTTTCTGACACTCAAAAGCCAAGTGCGCTTCAATTTCTTGAGGTGAACCTTTAGGCCAAATAATATGACATGAAAGGCATTCTGCACACCAACGTGAAGGGCTGATTGATCTCTTTAAGTTTTTTTGCATATTTATCCCAACCAAACCAACCCGGCTTACCTCCTTTATTTTTTGGTTTAGGTAGAGTTTCATCAAGTGGTATATCTATAGATGTTAAATCTTGAAAAGGTTGTTCCATGTGAGAGTTTTCACTTGGAGATTCTTTAGATACGATATTTTTTCTAAAAGAAAAACGCGAAAAGGCAAACGCGAAAAAGGCACAAATAAGAGGAAAAATAAGCTTCTTTTTTTTCGCGCTTCATTTTTATCACACAATCTTAACGTTAAGTATTAAAAATTTTAAAAAGAGTTTAACGGATGTTAAAGTAACATTCAATATTCGGTACAAAAAATTAAATCGGCATGTATTTGATTGGCTACCTATAAAGCATCACATGATCTGGGGAGTTTCGGAAGGTTTCGTCACTATCGAACGGTTTCGCCAATATCGGAAACTTCCGGCAATTTCGTTCCAGTTTCGATCTATCGAAAAGTTTCGGATTTTAGGTCTTAAAAGACGAAACGTTTCGACCTTGAAGTTTTAGTTTCGCCCACAACATTAGTAATCTCGTCTGTAATTTCTAACTTTTCAATCCATTTTGTGATTAATTCTGCATGTTGATATGTAATAATACTTGATTCGATATTAACCTTTTTAGGTTCGATATTAATATTTCTAGATTCAATATCTGATTCACCGCAATTACGCAACAAAGAAATAATCGTACTTTCAAATAATCCTTCGGGTATAATTCTCTTATATGGATAAATTTTATCCAAAAATTCTTTAGGAGTAAATCTAAGGAATTCAATCAGAGGAAAAAATTCTTGTAAAGAATCTCTCAAGCTATTGAAATCATCTTGTGAATAACTAGAAAGATCCGAGGAAAGGTTGGGATTCTGAGCAAGACCCCACTTAAGTACATAATTCCAAACTTGAACCGCACTCATCTTGAGGTTATCGCTTTGAATTAACGAGATCAAAGTTTCTTTTGGAACTTAAATAAAATAAGATGATTCAAAAAACGTTCAGGTTCATTTGAAATTAATACTGTACAAACATTTTTAAGTTCAAGGTAAGAATCACTTTCTAAACTTGTTTGATATATCAGATTTAAATTTTCATCCGACCAATTTTCCTTGTTTTCAATCAAATTAGATTGTAAATTAGGTATTAACTCCTGAAGATCTAATTCATTGGCGACAATCAAGGTTTTAACAATTTCCGAATCATCAAAACCATCCAAAGGAAGCCTTCCTCCGTAAATGTATCTAGAGATTAAAAAATATTAATTTGCGAAATTTAAAAAATAGTAATATCTTATAATTAATAATTAACTTTACCTTAAAACTATTTGAAAAATTTCAGGTGAAAGGTTTGGGAATGTAACATGTACCAAAGATTCATCATTCTTCTTTCTATATTTTGACAAAACTCTTCGAAAATAAGGGGAGCGATAATATAAAATGTTTATATGAGCTCGAAATATTTTCACATGAGGGTCATTACCAACTTCAATAGTAATATCATAATATTCGTCATCTTCCAAAATTTCTAGAAAGTTTTTTGGGTTAACTTTGGTAAAAATTTATCTTTATCCATTTCAATTGATTTTTTTATGTGGGAGAATAATAATGAGGTTATATATATTTGGGAATTAATACCGGTTTTATAACAGTTTGATTATTCCAAATCTGGCAGGTTTGACGAATGATGATCTCAATCAATTATTACCTAGAACTCCGAAAGGGGATAATTTTAAATTTGAGATGAATTTTGTTCTTGCGTTTGTCGCCCTTGCTTTGGGCTATATAAATGTGATTTGCAGTATTTGTCTTAAAGTACTCATGCATTATATTAAATATAAGCTTTAATTTATTCTATGAAAAACCGGTTTTTATTTTTTTTTTTAAGCGAGAATCATCTCGGTTTATGAAATACATTGACTTTCATTTGATTATATTAAATTCTATCATAAACGAAAAGAACTCAGCCCATCATAACTATTCATAAATATGGTTACAAATAATGTTTGTAGATTGAAGTTTCGTTAAATATTAGATTGAATTAATTACTATTAAATTACGACTATTGAGCTCTTCAAGCGGCTTACAAAGCTTAGCTCTATAAAAAATTAAATTAAGTTATACATTTTATTGTGAAAATCGAAAACATCTAGAAGGAAAGTGAATCGGTCAGTCTTTTTATATTTTATATTTAGACATCCTGTTAAGAACGGAAACTTGTCAAATTCAAATGAAGAGAATGATAATCCCCTTTTTTTAATTTTTTTTTATAAAAAAAATATTTACCATTTCTTCTTTGATAATCAAGGAATTGTCACGACCATAACGTTCGAAACGTTTCGCATGAAGGAAATCGGTTTTAAGGGCGTTTCTATGACTGGATTCGACTCTGAGGTATTTTCCTCCATTAAAACGTTTTTGGAACGCTTCTTATTAAAATAAAGCAATGGGAGCATTTTTTGAGAATACGAAATAAATTCGAGCGGAGCTTTACAGAAAATATAAATACATGAATATTGGCACAAATTCAAATGATTGGAGACGATTTATTCATTTTTTTTTTTTAATAATAGCGAAAAAAGTTTGGTCATACAATTACAATTGAAGTTGTAAATAGTCCAAATGTGAAAATATTTCGAGCATCTTATATTCCGTTCTCTATATTTACAAAGAATGTTGGCTTCCAATAAAAAGGATAATGATGACGCCTAGTCCATATTAAATATTTCACCAGAGATTTTTCAAAGTATCTTAAGGTAAGTTATATTTTAAATATTTTAAATATTTTTTTTTTTCTTTTCGTATAATTAATCTTATTGTTTAATAATGTAGATACATTATGGTGGGGTCATTTCTTTAAATGAACGTGACGTTTCCAATACCTAAAATATATTGGTGCTCCTTCTGACAAACCAAGGATTGTTTTATATTTTCTTTTAATAATAAGAATAATTTTAAAGATTTCCATTTAAGGCTCGTGAGTGACAAGCGTGGCATTATTTACCACAGTAATTATGTTTACTCTTTTGATAATGATATTATGTTAGAAAAATCTTATTATAAATATGGAAGTTATGATTGCAATTATCATGAGATGGCTTTTTTTAATAAAAGATTACAATTTGATTTAAGCAAACAAACTTTTGAATTATTTAGTACATTTAAACTTTCAAAAGGTTCATGGACATTGCATTATTTATTTTGTTTAAAATCAACCTCCTTTCTTAACTTTTAAAATCATGTGAGATTTCTGCACATTCAAAGCTCGATAACATTACAGTAAATTCTCCGAATGAAAGGTTTTCGAAATCTAAAGGCGTGAAAATAAATATTTCGTAACCAAAAGACTTTAAAATTAGACGGGCAAGACGGTTTATATTTATAATTATATATTTATATGCAAGATTTCTTATATTTAAAGTTTGGTAACATACATTTTTATTATAAAAAAAAAAAATTATTATAAAATATTTTGACGCGGGCTTAAAATAGGTGATCATCAGTACTGTATCTCCAAAGTTCAATATAAAAAAAATTATTTGGTCATAGATCAATTCAAAGATAATAATAATAAATAAAAGAATTTGAAAGTTGAATGACAAATTTTTGTTGAATAGTCATATTAAGTCAAATTTAAAGTTCGAATTAATTCGAATTAGAGTTTATATCCGTTATCCGTTAAAAACGGATATCCAACAGATATTCGAATATCCGGATTGAACGGATACAAAATTTTGGATATCTGAATAATCCAACGGATATCTGATAATACCCGGATATCCGGATTATCCAGATGATATCCGGATATAGATCGTATATCAACCGATTAATATGACACGATTTCACGATGTTTGTTCAACACGCGTTACCGTTCTAACTAAAACAAAAAAATAAAACAAAT